GTTTCAAACCTGCTCACTTGGAGGGTGTCTCTAATTAAACCTGGCCTGATGGCTTTAAGGATCCCCTGGAGGCTGGCTGCCCCATGCACTGTTCTGGTTCATAAACTGAAAACCTTTTGGAGAAACTCTGGTTTAGGCTGGAAAGCCTGAGAAAATGTTCTGGGATGTCCGGGAAGCCAGCGGGCGATGGGTGGTTTGATCACAACCATAGTGAGTTCTGGCTGGATGCAAGCTCTGGACTTGCCACCCTTCCTGTTAGAGACTCTGGGATGCTGGGGAACAGTGGCCAGAGTTCAGAGCTCAGCACCTTGCATGCTGACCATTTGGACCACTGTCCAAATTGAACTCTGCTGAGTTCAGCTCTCTGTTAGTTAACAGCAAAACATCCACCTCACAGAATCGTGGCCACGATTAATGGGTTCAATTCAGGAAAAGCCTCAGTACATTACAGCGCCACTGTCCATCCTGTCTGTCTGTCTGTCTCAGCAATTCATCTCTCTGGAGGGGTCTACTGAAGGAAAGTGCCAGAATCCCTGGGAAATTGTCATGCACAAGCATTTTTCAGAGTGACTCTGCCCCTGTGGCTGTAAATGGTGCCATACAGGAGAGCTCAGAGGCGGCAAGGGGGTTTCCCACCCACTGCTTCTCAAGCCTAGCAGTCCCAATAACTCACAGCAACTGGGCAGATGCTTCAGGGGCACTGAGAGGTGCCAGCCTGTCAAACATGCAGCAATGGGCTCCTGGGAATAAGTGTCCTGACCAGCCATTCATCCCAGAAGGCCATGCCCGGAGCTGCTCTCATGCCTATAAGCCTTGGGATTGGGTATCCTGGACCATTCGTCACATACAAACCCTGTGGCCATGACTCAGTGATGGGGAACGCCACTCAGGGGGCTTCTGGGGCAGCTGTGTCTGTATCACATGGGGGCCTGCCATTGCAGGGGGTGAGGCTTCAGGCCCCTTCCTGATGCTACACTGACTTGGTGTTCCAGTTGCCAGTTCTTAGGAGTCAGTGTCCTTTGTGTCTTCTAGGTTTGTGCTCCTGTCACTCGTGGACACCTTGCTTTGTGCACAGATGCAAAGTGCAAGAGTGGGGAGAAACACCTGAATGTCTCTATACTGTGTGGGCCAAACAAGTGTATGCTTGCATTCTTTGGCTTTTGATACCAAAATAATAAATAATAATAAATTAAGGACTATAAAATATTTAACATCCAACTGTCCCAGGTAGGGACAGCTCTGGGGCATTAGGAAGGTCTTTGGGTAGCATTAGTACAATGCACAGAGTAATTCATTAATTAACACTTTGCTCAAGAGAGAATTTCAGGCAGGTACCTGATGATATATAGATGGGGCCCAATAAATATTTCTCACATCGAATGGACTTTAGTTTCTAGTCTAAGGAGACCAGGTCTGCAGAATGGTAGGTACAGTGTGCAGGTCTGCCCTGTGTGGCATACAGATGTCCCCTTAGCACAGGAAGACCTGTCTTGGGAGAGGATCCAGGGCAGCTCAGCTCAGGTGTAGACAGGGAAAGGAGAACAGGAGTAGCATATATGGAAGACTGCTGGAGTGGCTCAATTTGTAGAGTGCCTGCAAATGTGAGGCCCTGAGTGTAAGCCCCAGTGTTGCCAAAAAGAACATTTTCTGGCTTACATCTTAGGCATCACTGAGGTAAATTGTTTCAGTTCTCAGATGCTCAATTTATTCTCTTGTTTGAACAATGGAGATAATGATACCTGATCCATTTCAGGGTTGTTTTGAGGATAGAAAATCAATACATATGGAGCGCCAAGAAAAACTAAGCAATGCTCTGAAATATAAGATCTTAGGATTCATTTCCCATCACAGTGACTGGTGAGACAAAACAATGAGTCTCTTCCCACACCCCTGGTAGCAGTAGGGCCGGAGGGCCACTTGTTGGAGGTGCTTCCTGGCGCAGGCGTGCAGGTGTGATGCTATCCCAAGTTGTCTTGCACTGAATGGGGGCAAGGTAAGGGCTTTATGAATTTGGGTGTTTGAAGCCTTCCATTTGGCCCCCAATGCTGGCAGCCCTCTTCAAAGTGAAAAAAACCAATTAAAGGCCCAGATCATCTCAGAGGGCTTTCCACCTCCGAGACAGATGGCGTGATTCACGTGACTTTGACATAAGTGCATCAGGTTGTGGGATGTGACTTGTTCCACTCTGCTGTATAGCATGGCCTTACATTAGAACAGAGGGTGGGAGGGGGCTAATGCATGGCCAGAGACCCCAAGTATGACTCAAGTTCTAAGTTTCTACTCACAGATCTGAAACCTTGTGATATTGTACGTGTGCTGGAGGTCTTCTCAAGCAATCTGGATTTGCATGGCCAGCCTACTCACCCTTAAAAAGCGCTGTAATGCAGCCTTCCTGAGACTAGTGTGAGTGCTAACTAATGGCTAATACTGCCAAAGAGAGAGCTGCTAGTTAGACAGCTCAGTGCCCATGGTGTCAGCAGTATTGAGACCTAGAAGTGTCAGAAAATGCAAATCAGTTAGTTTCCAGTTAGCCTGACTACTGTGCTCCCCTGTCAGGTCTGCCATCTACCCTCTCCTGCACCATCCCAGAATTTGTGTGACAATGGGAATATTCCCTATTTGTTTTGTCCAGTGGTAGTAGCCACTCAAACTGTGCCTAAATTTTACATTTGATTTCATTTTTAAGTGTACATTATAACAGCTAGTGGCCACAGTGAGGTCAATGCAGTGCTTCCCAGCTGAAACTGCCTCAAGCTGCCCGCACGCAGGAGACCAGGGGACGTCAACAAGGCAGGAGAAAGTAAGTGAACTCCTCCATCTTTACCTTCAAAACAGCTTTTTGTACCTCAATCTGAACCCCCCCAAATAGTTAGGTCAACTGACAACCAAAGAGTAAGACGACAGTCAAAATCACACAGGTGTTGTCGTCCTTTCCCTCCAGACTTAGAGTGCTTTTTTTTGTCCCTTTCATGTAAATTCTGCAACAGGAAACTACAGTACATAATACAACAAGCCCTGAGATCTTACGTCATTGTCTCCTGGCAGTATTCATACATACCACGACAGTGGCAGTCCTCAATCTGTCCCCTCACCCAACCTCACTGCCCAGCCAAAGTCCAGTATATTTCAGAAGACAGTGTAGAGTTGCCTCTGTAGGACTCATTAAGATGAGCGGGCTAGCTTTGAGTCATTTTGGGGAAGGATTTCAGGACCAGTCATGTACTTTATAGATGGATGTCATGATTATTTGAAGGTCAGGAAAGCAGTCCTGAATTCAACTAGTCATTTAATGACTGGCACGAAAGGAAAACAGCATGATAGATACATTTATAATCCCACTTTTCTCAACAGTTAAATAGAGAAAAGAAGTCCTTCTTCATGAAATCTTCCTTGTGCTCTGCTAAGGTCCAGTAAAAAGACTAACAAAAGTGGGTAAGGAGCTTTGCACTTTAAGTTGGGAGCTAGGTACCAGTGGTATGGGATCAGCCAAGCTCTGCTGGTCTCCACTGTCTTCCTCCAGCTGTCCCCCTGAGCTTGTGTTTTCTAAGACTGTTTTGAAATAGAAAGCCATTCCTGTGGGATGAGGGATAGAGCTTAGAGTTAGGGCACATCTCTAACATCCACTGTTCAGTTAAGGACAAATTTGGGAACAGCCTACTTGTCTTGCCTTGTTTTCAGTGCTGGAGATGGAACTCAGGGCTTTGTGCATGCTAGGCAAGTGCTCTGTCACTGAGCTATACTCCAGCCCTCTCCTACAACAAACAGTGCCTTAAAGCTGTGATGGTTAGAGTGGGGTTCTCAGAGCAGCAACACCACCTGGGAACTTGTTAGAAATGCAAATTCTTGGGCCCCACCCTGCCCCAGACCTACTGGAGCAGAAACTTTGAGGGTGGGGCTCAGCCATCTGTGTTATTTAAAAAAAATCTCCACGTGATTCAGTTGCACTGATGTTTAAGGACCATTTTAAAGCAATGTTGAAATGGCTGAACATATGAGTATGCACCCTACAATGTCAAGTCTTTCCCAACTCCATAAATAAGGTCCAACCAAACACGAAACATGTCCAGCCAACAGTCACCAGTGCTGAGCTGTGACATATCCTGTGCTACCTGGAACCTGACTAAGCCTCCTCTCTGCTCTCTGGGTGGCTCGGGGCTGGGATGCATGAGTGCTTCTGAGCTGAACCACACGCATATACTCATCTGCCTCCCAGTGGGAGATGGAGGAACACAGAATGGGAACGCAAAGGGGAAAGTGGTGCTCAATTCTCTGGATTCAAGGATTTCACTGAAATCCATCAATCGTAACCCTCCCTTTTCGGAGAACAGACATTTATATTTCCCATGAGCCCTTCACAAACAACTAAAAGAGAGACAGTACTTATAAAATCAAGACACATCTCAGATAGTTGCTTTCCAGTGTACTAAGCCTCGTGCCCTGCGTGGTGAGTACAGGTGCTGATGAGGGCTGCGCCTGGAAGGTTCACTGCCAGCGTGTATCCACACATGCTCGTTTTCCTGCTCCTTGACTGCCCGTGGCGACGCTGTGAACCTGTATCTTCCAGTCATCAACCCAAGTACAATTCTGGACTTTATGGGGAATCACAGAGTTTAGCTGTCTAAATGGCTCACAGGCTTTCAAATTTCTCTTTAGTAACAATGCTTATTCACGTAACACAGACTTTACCTGCCCCAAGATCTCAGGGAGCGCGCCAGGTGCACAATTCCATTTTGATATTTTTCATCATGAGACAAACCTCCGTCCTAAGGAAAACGCAAACTGTGCTAGGTGACTTTTCCCACTTTAAATCACACTCCTCATCACGACCCGTTACACCCACGTGCTCACGTGCTGTCAGCACTGCAGACTGTCGCCAATGTTTCAAAGGCTCAAAAGCTATTTTTAAAGCCAAAATCGAGGTTGCTCTTCTATCAAACCCTTTTTAAGGGAAGAATAAAGGAATACAGGTTTTTATGCATGTGCGCAGTTCGCCAACTCACCAAAAGACTGTATACAGCTGTCGATGAGGTCCTCCAGGCTGGCTCCTTTGGCCAAGTGTCCCAGGGACACCATCATTCGGAACTGGGTGATCTGGACCAGGCTGGGATGGGAAGGGAGGGAGGCTGTTTTCGCCTCTAGTCTTGCTTTGGGGGAAGCTCTGGAGCCATGGGAAGGTTTCCTGGGGAAAGAGAGAAGGCAGTGAGGGCAGATACAGCAGCTAGGGGACAAGCTGGTGGCTCCACTCCCGGCTCCGAAGGTAGTCAGGAGAGAAAAGGAGTGGAGATGAAGCAATTAATCCCAGGAGTTGGGCTGATAGAGGCATACCCCTCCCACTTGGCAAAGGCACTGAACGGACTGGTTGGCTGTTAAAGAGACATGTCTCCAGCAAATGACAAGGCAAGTGTCCAGAGCTGCAAGGAGGGCTTTTCACCCTGGTGGAAGGATTGCTCTGTTCAGCTGCTGCTCAGCTCCAGAAGGGGAGAGGCAGAGGTAAGACCATATCTCTGCAGTCCTTAGCTTCTAGCAGTCATTTTTTAAGGAGCTTGGGAAAGGCGTCAAAGACTTTCCCAAGGGTGAACAGAGTGCAAGGGATTAGGGTGAAGGTGTTTAGATTTTTAAGTTAGTTCTACCTTTCTCACAAAACTTGGTTTTAGGAAACTGTGTTTCATTACTGATAACACAGGTCATCATTATGAGTCATTCTTGTCACTAAACATTGTTCCATCAAGTCTTTACTTGGGTCTTATTTAAAATGAAAGCTGAGCTCTAATAGTTTGTTCTAGAATTTGGAAGAGCTTTTCTGGCAAGATGAAAATGAGCTGAACAAGTACTTAAATCAAAGTAAGATGCTGGGCACACCTGTGCTTAGGGCTGATGGACCACTACCAGGCCCTAGAGGATCTGTTTCAGATTCACACTTGTTTGCAGGCACTGGTCTGTGGAGGTCCTGGGCTCTATTCCAGCTGAGGGTAGGGCAGACGAAACTGAATCACCAGTTGGTTACCAGGAATCAGCTAACCCAGGACAGTGATTTCTGGCTACTGCCGATTGTCATCCAGGCCCCATGATAGCCTCAGAATCAGATCATGAGAACGTCATAATCCAAACCAAAATAGCAATGGCCACCATGAATGGGAGGTACCGTCTGGGGTCTCTGAGGTCTACAGCCCAGACAGATTTGGTCTCAGGACGTTGGAGCTGAGAACAAGAGGCTAGGTGTGCAGCTCCATTGTGTGGCTGACTCCACGCCTCCCTGGTTTTATTAGTGTAATAGCTATTTCCTGTGCCTAGACCCTCATACCTTCTACATCATCAGACTTGGCAAGTAGACTCTCACAGAGAGTCTGAAAGGGTCAATTCAATGTAGAACAAAAGTCAAATCCTTCAAAGCACAGCTGATAACAGATTGGCTGAATCTTAGTCTGTAGGTCCCTGGAACTGTCTGGGACCCCAGAGTTGGACAGACGCTTGGCCATCATCTTGAACCCCTCATCTGCAGGTGTGGAAATGCAGACAGGCTGGCAGTCAGCCTGCTGTGCCCCTGGTCACACAACCCAGCGTGGTTCTCTTCCCCTGCTGGAAGCACTTACAACTGTCAACCTGGTCTGGCATGGGGATTAGTCTGCATTCTGCCTCACCAATACCAAAGCATAGTAAAGACAAAAATCTGGTCCTTCATGGTGGAGAGAGACCCTGGAAAGGAGGCGGACACCCAGGGGTCATTGCCGCACACATAGCTCTTCCTGCTGGGCTTGGGAAGTGACAGAGATGGAAGGAGACTCCCATTTCTCCACTGGCTGGTAGCATGAACCATTCAGAACTCTTAAGCCTGCCATGTTTTAGCAATGCATCCCACTTCCCTAGTAAGGAAATCTATTTTGATTCATACGGCAATTCTCAGAAGAAGTGCTTTTACCAGAATTGGGAGGGACTGGGGTAGACTCAGGAATAAAGAAAGATCTAGAAGGAAGTATTTAAGATTAAAAAAAGAGAGAGAAGGGAGAGCAAAAAAATGTAACCTAGGAAGACAGGTGTGGTGGCATATACCTGCAATCCCAGAACTGGGAAGGCTGAGGCAAGAGGATGGATAGTTTGAGGCCAGCCTGGCTACATAGTGAGACCCTATCCAAAAAACCAGTAATCTAGGAAGTATGGAGGCCAGGGAGACTCAGAGAAAAATTTAAAAACCAATTGCCACTTTAGAGGTCTAGGGATATTTGCTACATAATGGAAACCCAAGAGCCCTGCTCTACAGTCTCTTGACTGGTTACTTTACGGAAAATCTTCAAACCACTCCTTTCTCTTTCTCTCTTTCCTCCCCCCTCCACATCTCCTCTCTCACTGGCTTAACTATGTATTCCAGGCTGGCCTTGAACTCAAGGACATATGACCCAGCAATTCTGGGTATATATACTTCTGGATATATCTCCAAAGGAAATGCAGCAGTATTTTTTTTTAATGGAGTGCAGGGGACAGAGCCCAGGGTCTCCTTGGCACATGCTAGGCAAGTACCCTACCACAAAACTACATCCCCACCTTCTCTCTTGGGCTAAAATCTTGGGAGCTAAGGATTCACAAATGCTTTAAGGCAGGTTTTAGACGTTTCAACAACGCACTGACTGAGTAGTCTCTAATTCTGAAAGCCATACCTTTAAAGAATAGTAGCCAAATATTTCCTGTTTAATTTGTAATTAAACAAAAACCCAGAGACAAACACATGAACCTGAAGGTGTTTTCTGAGCCTGAAGCTAGCCATGCTGGGCCCTGCTTGCTGAGGGAAGCTGTCAACACTCTAAACTGGATTCACACCAGGCACAGGGATGTCAGTGGGCTGCAATTTCAGCCTAAGCTTTTCATAAAATGTAGTCTGCAAGAGCAAGGGAGGGAAGGCAAGAGAGCACCGCAGGAGCCCTGCAGCTCCCACCGCGTGCTCTGCAAGCCAGGGTGACTTTTGTTGGCTTCCAGTCCTGCCCTGTGCCCCCCCACAATACAGACACAATTTATTTGACGACCCCCCCCCAACTCTAGTGCAAGATACAGCGGTCAGGCCACAGGGATGACAAATGGGGAAGGAGCAGAAAGTTCCCAGGATTGTAAATCCAGAAGGTCCAGCATCGCACAGCTTCTGGTCCCCACTGGGCACGGCTGTGCAGGTTGGACACGACGCGACCGCATCAGAGCCCAAGTGAACGTTAAGTGCACATCATGCCCAGCCCGGTACGGAGGTGAGGCGTTGTCCGGGCAGTTGCCTGTCCCCTCCAGTTCTTTCTCTCCTGCCTAAAGCCTGTTTGCATACTGTCACTTTTTCTTCACCTTCTGTCGTTACGAGACCCTCCTAAACACCTCTCTAGAGTCGCGGCGGGGAAAGAGGGGTGCGGGGTCCCACCCAACGGTCTATGCGGCTCGCCCACCACAGATTTGGAAACTTCAAGTGCAGCCACTTGCATCTGCAGCTAAGGCTGTGGTCCTCTCGGTGCAGGGTCGGGAGCAACCGCCAGGTGGCGCTGCCCGACCCGGCGCTAGCAGCAGGTGAGGGGCGCGCGGAAAGTCCGCGAGTGGGAGCCCGGGGAAGGGGATTCCGGGAGGGGGTCGGCGCTGGACGGGTGAAGGGCTTCGGCCCTCGCCATCCCAGGTGCCCGGAGCGTCCTCTGCCTCGCCGACTTCGTGGGGCGCCCCTAGAACCCTCCTCCATCCGCCTGGCCCGACGTGCTGGGCGCCCATCTTTCCGGACCTTAGCAGAGCCCCCGACTCCATGTCACCCCTCCCACCCACGGCCTGCCGCTTCCCCCGGGGGAAGCGCCCATGTCGCCCGCACCCGCGCTCCCCATTCCAGGCGACGATCTCAGAGCGCCCCAGGGAGGGCAAGTGGAGCTCCCGAGGGTGCCGCCGCCCGGACTCACCGCGGAGCCTCTCTCGCCTTGCCCAGGGTGCCCATGGCCGCGGCCGCGCTGCTGCAGCCGGCTCAGCTGGCGCGGCGGGACGGGCTCGGCGGGGCGCGGCGCATCGCCAGGCCACCGCCCGCCCGCCGGGCCTCTCCGCGGGCCTCGCCGCCCGCCGGTCTCCGAGCCCTGCGCGCAGATCCTGCGCACCGCAGGCACAAAGTTTGTGCGCGCGCCCCTCGCCGCGCGCGCGCCCGTGCCCGCCCGCCCGCACCAACCACCTGACAATTGCAGCAGCCGCCGCCAGCCTGGAGGAAGCGCGAGGCGCTCAGCCCTGCTCCGAAACCTGCCCAAGCCTCCCGCACTTCTCCCCTCTAGGCTCCCAGCCAAAGGGTCAAGTTCAAGGCCAGGCGGCGACTCGGCGCTCCCCTGAACCCAGCCGAGCCCGCGCGTCCACAGCTGTCTCCACCTGAGCCCGAGGAATCGGGCTTCACCTTAGGGGCTGTCGTGGACCCCGGCACGGCTCGCAGCCCTGTCTTGTTTACAGCAATTAGAGTTCAGGGTCCGGTCCGGGTAGGGAACGAGTCACGGCTGTGGGGTTTGCGCGTTTGGGTGTCTGGGAGCAGTTTGCAAGACTAGGATGTGGGCACTGCGCTATGGAGGAGGCGGCGGTGTGGCTGCGGTGCGCCTCGGGGTCTGATCCACGTCTTGGAGAGACAGTCACCTGGCGTTCTGGGGGTGGAGAGAGGAGCTGGGGTGGAGGTGCACAGAGCTCTTTTACGGTATCAGTTCCACAGCAGACGTGGCCAAGAGTGGAGGCCTACCCGCTGTTCGTCCAAGGCATGACAATAATCACAACAGTAACTAGTACTGATCCAGTGTGTCGTGTTTTGTATGCATTTTTTATGCATTACAGAATCGAGTCCCTCGCTCCAATGCAAAGTGGTCACTACTTAAGAGATGAGAAAATGAAGGTTTCAAGACCACTCCTCAGATCACACAACCAGTAAACAGAGACAGCTAATGAGCTGCACTGAGATCCACCTGACTCCCTATAGTCACTGCTGGACTCTCCAATAGTCCCTCATCATCATTGTCACTTGCCATATCTGTAGCCACAATGTTAGTTGTCTTCCCAGCCATACTGTTCTGGATCTTAAGGCTTCCTTCTGCTATTTCACTTATCTATGTCCCTATAGTAATATGCTGCCTTGTCCTGGGAGAGAATTCAAGGTAGTTTACAGGAGTAAATAATCCATAAAAATAAACCTGAAGTGAAGTGAAGGACAGGAACATAAAATGGAGCCCAGAATGTCATTTGAAAAACTTGTACCAGTCCACACAAGTACACTTGAAAAACAGACTCCAAAACACATTTGCTTCACCGGGGGACCAAAATCTGTCTCCTGGTTTCTAGTATGCAAGAGGGAGGAAGCCTTGTCTAAAATTCAGGTCCTGATAGATGCAAGACAAAAAAAAAAGTGCTTTTACCTGGCGCCTGTGGATGCTTGTAATCCTAACTGCTCAGGAAGCAGAGATCAGGAGCATTGTGGTTCGAATCCAGCCTGGGCAAATAGTTCTCAAGACCCTATCTCGAAAAACCCTTCATAAAAATAGGGCTGGTGGAGTGGCTCAAGGTGAAGGCCCTGAGTTCAAGCCCCATGATGGGGGAGTGCTCTAAAGAAATTCTACTCTTATCTAGGCACCAGTGGCTCACACCTGTATTCCTATCTACTTAGAAGGAAGAGATCAGGTGGGTTGTGGTTCAAAGCCAGCCCTGGGCGAAAAAACTCATCACACAAAAAAAAGGATTGGTGGAGTGGCTCACGTGGTAAGAGCGCCTGCGCAGGTGTGAGGCCCTGAGTTCAAACTGCAGTGCCGCCAAAATACAAGAAATTCTCCTCTTGATAAAGAAACCAGAGAGAAGTGTCTCCAATCCTCACCAATGCTGGGTAACAATAAAGGACCAAGTCCTCACTCCCAGTCATATATAGAAGGGGCAGTGGATGGCAGGTGAGGACCGTGCTCTCTTCCTAATGAAGGGCGCTGAGGTTTTGAAGGGCGATCTTGTGAGCTTACAACCCGAACAACCAACTCTGGGTGTCTGAGAGTGGTGAGATTCGTATCTCCCACACAACTATACCTTCATATCTGTCTCCCTCAGTCCTGAGTGTGCCAGATTTGGGTATGTTCACAGAGTGCTTTCCAAATTACCAGGTAAACAATGAACTTTTTCTGACCTCCTCACCCTGCAGTGAGTGCTTTACCATTCCACCCCCAAATTCAAATCTGTTACACTTTATATTGCCATCCAGTAGTCCATGACCTTGTCTTATCCCTTCAACTCAGCTGCATTTACTGGAGGTCAAGGACGAGGATTGGGGCTCCTTTAGTTACAGAACAGACATCTTGGGATAGTGCCTGTGACTCATCTCCAACAAATTGCTCTTGAATTGCTTTTGCAATGCACATCTCAAAGAAGAAAATTAGAGTCTTCCAGATTACTTCTGGAGGAGTACACATTTTCCTTTTAAGTTCCTTGTCTGCAGCAAACTTGGTAAGCTGGTTGCCATGTATCCCCAACTTTCATGCCCCCTCCACTCGCTTCTATTGTAGACAAGATCGGGGACATTCAAGGTGATATGGCCATAGATACATATAAGCAGTAGAAATTGAGGTTGTTAGTTCACTCAAAATGATTCTGAGTTTTGTTTTCTTTTTTTAAAGAGGGAGGCACACAGAGGCTCAGCAGCCTGCTTTCTCTTGGGGTTTTTCTTTTTCTTTTTTGTGGGACTGGGGTTTGAACTGAGGGCTTTGAGCTCACAAAGCAGGCACTCTACCACTTGAGCCACACCTCCAGTCCAACCCACTTTCTCTTGGACTTCCTGAGAATTCTGCACTTCACCTGCCTCTGATTGTTTCTGGACCCACCTGAGTTTGGGTTTTTTAAGAGTTCAGCTTTTTTTTTATTGAGCATGTTACAAAAGACAGCCCATGTGACTGTCTGACTCCTGAGATCCTTCTTGCTTTGCTTTCACTTTCTCCTCAGCAGGGCAGCAGTGGCGAGGGTGCAGGGCCTCCTGGTGCAGCACCTGCTGGTGGAGCAGGTCCGCCAGCCCACACTGCAGTTGAGGTTCCCCTGGGGTGGGCACTGGCCAGGCTCTTTGCAGGCAAGCCAGGCTAAAAGTTCTCGCATTTTCACTAGTTGCTTCCATGTGGGCACAGACCTTCTCCCTGAAGGTCACCTAATGGCTGTGCAGGATTAGGCAGAGTAGTACAGGCAAGCTTGGAGACACAGGCCATGTGCAGCTCAGTGCAGGATTGGCTGCCTTAGCTTCCATGGAAGGACTGAGCACCGTGGCAGCAGCTGGGTGAAAGGCTCCCCTGAGATTTCTGGTGACTCCTGCCTGAGCCATGCATCTTCTCTAAATACCCGAGAATTCAAAGTTGGCTGTCCCTTGCCGTTCATTTCCTGCCATGTGCTCAAGTCGCCCTGCTGCCTGTGGCAGCTCTCACCTGGAGGACAAGTCTCTTTTTCTTGAACCCTCATCTTTCCCTCTTTTCTGCTTTTCCTGCTTTTCTGTTAGGAAGTAGGTTAATCACTGGCTGTTACAATCCATCAGGGACCTTTCATCTTTGTGCCCAGCCTTGGGTGAGGTCATTCTTCCTCTTCTTAGTCAGGGGTTGTTAATTAACGACCATGGACCTTTCAATTCCATGGGGGAGGTTATATATGAAGCCCCTGAAATTATCCAATTTTTGTGTATGCTTTTTCTGGGGGAATGTTTCTAGCTTTCATCACATTTTCTAAACGATCTGCTATTCAGATTTACTTTCTTCCATGGTTTCAACAGAATCTACTGCCCTCCTGAGTCTCCACCTACTACCCTAACATCCAGAGCCACATTCCTAGTCACATCTCCTTCTGTTGTCACCCAGGGCTTCTTTACTATCTCCAGAGCCTGCACCAGCTTTTCCCTGGACACATGTGATAGACTTGTAACTGGCCTTGCTGACTGTGCTATCTCTTTCATGTTGTTTCTACAGTTAACCCATCACAGTATTTCTCTGCTTTGAAACTGCTACAAAATCAAGTGCCAACTCCTTAACACCATGCACCTGCAAGATGGCCTGCTGGCCCCAGCCCCACCCTCCCAGTACAGGACTGCCTGTCTCTCACCTGGATCCCTCTGGTCATCACTGCTTGTTTTCCCTTTCAAGCCTCTGTGTGTAGCTTGTGTGAATTCTTCCGCCTCCTGTCTCTCCTCCCCTTATAAACACACCAAGGAAGTGGAATGGTGGTCTAGATCCACAGATCATCCTGGGGGCCTCCCTACTGTCAGGTGCTGTTCTTGTCACTCAGAGTCTGGAAAAGAACAAGCCAGGCCAGGTCCTAATGTGAATGAGCTCCTCTGTCCAGCACACAGACACTAACCAAGTCAATAAACAAACGTATAAATATACTCCCTGACTTCCAGAAGCTGTGAGGATACCCCTGCCCTCATAGGGGCATCTTGAATCCTCCACGTGGACCTTCAAGGACAGAGCCAGCCTAGGTGAAGAGACACCAAGAGGGAAAGAGGCCTATGGTGCCCTCCATCATCTGTTGCTTCCGTTTCTGTGACAAGGAGAATTGGCCTCATTATTTGTATTATTGTGGCTGGCTGTCCCACACTGCAGTTTTTAAAACACAGTATGTCCCCGCTGCAGCTCACCTTGGATCAAAGCCGGGGGGAATGGTGCATGTGAGGAGTGGGGCTCGAGGTTAGACCCCGTCCTTGGCATCCTCCTGTGTGTAGCAGGCCTCACTATGCGTCCATCTGCCTATGGGTGGTTCTGGAAGGTACTGTGTTTCCCTGAGGGCTCCACAGGACTTTCCAAAGGGAATTTTATGAAGGTCATACAAATTTTATTTCATGTTGGGTCAACCCAAATATGGGCCCCGAACAAGGAATTCCACCCTTGTTTTCAGCTGCTTTGAAGAATGCTGTCCTTATGAAGTACCTTCCCAAAGGCTCCAGAGCCCATGTATTCAACCACAGTGGCCTAAACAGTGTTTCCAAGAGTGATCAGCTTTGATCTGGGTGTTTTTTAGGAGGTTAACGCAACAAGCAAATAGTACCACATGTCATATTGTGACTTTTATT